CTGGTTAAATTTAATGAAAGATTTTCCAATGATCATGGTGGAGATCCTCAACATTATGATCGTTGCATTACAATAAATTTACTCTAAACGTTCTTGATACTCTTTTCATCATCACTAAAGCTTTATCCTTGGCTGAATTGCCGATACTTAGGGTAATTTTTTTTTTGCATGAATTTTTCTTACTCAGTGCATCATGATCACATCTTTTGCCCTGGTGTTGCGTTGCAAATGTAAGGCAACGGCTGCATCCCGCGACAGACGTAGCCAAGAGCGCTCAGGAGCCTCCAGCGCCGTGCATCTTTTATTCTCTGCACTTCCGGCAGCAGCGCGGCGTCGGCAGCAGCGGTGGTAGCTGGGAGCGTTCGTACACCATTTATGTGCGCCGATCCCTTTGGGCTTGGGCGATGCCTCGGCTTGGTATCGCCTTCTAGCGACTTCTGAGTTCTTAATCTATCTTATGCTTGGGCTGAGGCGTTTAATATTTATTTGTCGTAGTTTTTCTCTGCAATTTTGATGTTGACTAGGTATACTTACGAGCCTTGTGACGTGGTCTATTTAATAATAATGCATTTATTCGTCGATTTTATACGTTTGATTGAAATAAATGAACCGCTGCAATACTAAAAATTACAGATGGCTAGACTTGAAAATTACAGCTCTTGATTTTTTCTCAATAATTCTGTTTCAAATTGCGTAAACTTTATTGATCTGCAATTAAGTTCAATAGCGTGCCAGTCCGCCGCAAATTGTTTTCCTATATCGCATTTTCTGTAATAATATATTCAGCGATAGATTATTATAGACCTAACTAAGGTTGAGTGATAGAAAATTTGAACGACAAACGACACTCGCAGCTTCCGCCAAAATTTGTGGTGATAAGTGCCTTATTTAGGCCTAAGTTTGCTCCAAACATGTACAGTATCCATAAAAATTAACGGAGGGCGTCGAAACCAAAATCACCAAGTTTAGAGCAGCAAGCTTCCTCATCATATGGTTTCCAACTCGGAAATCCTCCAACAATACGCAATTACTTGAAACACAAAACCTCTTCCCTGTGTCATCTAACTAACAAGCAATGTTTTATGATACGAGATCGACATGGTCACATGCCGCTGCGGGCCGAAGCGGTACGACGAATCAGCAGGTATGACGGCGGGATCGGTACCGGAAATGGGCGTGACTGACCGCCGCCGCATTCACGCTAATCAGACCGAGCACTAATCAATTGTAAGGCTTTATATTGGCGTCTTAGTATTCATGTTTTTTTTATTATTATTGGGACATTCGAATTTTACTCATCTTCCCTAAGAGACTCTTTGTAATTAAAATAACCTGCTTTCCTGTATTTTTTTTTCATGTTCGAGTTGTTCAGCAAGAGCAATGCATTCATCGTTAGTTGTGTCACGCATTTTTACCATCTCGTTACATGGAGCAATAATTCTCGTACAATTATTAATTTCACACACTTCTATCTTAGCTATGACTGTAATTCTCATCTAATTAACGCATGACGATGCATACTGCTTGCAGGATTGATACTTTTGAATTAATTAATGCGTCACAGTTGGCGGACCGTATATGACGTACCTACTCTACCGTATGAATGAATATGTTTGCAAAAAAATTTGCCTCCATATCATTGTAGTACGCAGAGTCTTCTTACAATAGTATCGAGTACCGATTGTCCATGTTGATATCATTCACGCATCAATTTTAAAGATTGCATGAGATCAATGAAATGGAACTAGTGATCTTCATTCTAGACTGGCGAACTTCTATATTATTCCTGTAATGTCTTCCTTCTTGTTAATTTTATAAGTTTTATTTGAACTTTTCAGAAATTCAGTTTCATCAATTATCAAGAAATAACGTTATCATAAAACTATCTTTATTCAAGAAAAGTTGTGAGAGATCCGTTTGCTTACATTTTAGCGAAAAGCTTTGTAGACGAGCGATTGAACATGAGTTTCAGAAATTCGGCAGCGTCAATTCATGGGCAAACATGTTCTGCGAACAAATTGCTTTTCTTTCGTTACTTAATTACTTTGCGAGCATGCTCAAGATGCCCAGAAGTCATTATACTGTTGAATGGTCAGTTTATTATCCGTACATTATAGTTCTAAAGCAAGGCAAGCTATTATTTTAAAAATCATCATTAGCCACTGTTCATGTCGATAACTTTGCATATATGAATGACAACTTGGGGTCGTCTTACAAGCTGTCAATTAACTGACATATCTTTCTTAGCCTTCGATTGGGCTTATTTTGATTGAATCGTAAAAAATAGTCACATGTATACATGTGAAAACGAACACGTGTATGTTCCACTGCATAGTCATGCAAGTTGCGTGGATGTTTAGTATAGCAGTGCGGGCGAGCCTGTCCCGCTCTGTTTATGCGACTATCGAAGCATTTTTTGCTTCGAAAATTAGCGTAAAGGAATGTGTCATGCAGGCTCGAGCGGAGCTTTTTACTGCTCTCCTTTTCGGCTTTTTAGGCTGCATCGCTCACTCAATTGACGACTGATGAGGATCGAACGACCGGTGACGTTTGTGCTAACCATTGTGTTCAGCGTCCAATTGACGTTAGGCTCATAACATTGCAACTTCGACGAAGTCAACCTCTCTCTCGCGTGGTATTGAACCAGTATTTTGCCCATGATCGAGTTGAATTGTCAAGAAAACTATTATGGTTAATTTAATTTTTAATGAATTTCGTAATAATGCATTGATACACAAACGTTGCATCATCATAACGCCTAGCAAGCGCTAGCAAATTGACTTGGACGCCACAGTGCGGGATGAATGTTTACAGTCAAAACGCGGTCGATTCCGATACCTGTTAGTCTTGCAGTTTACACTGATTCGTCCTGATGTAAAACAATACTTCATAAAATTAGAATTTTGCTTATTCTTGATGTCACCACTTGAAGTGCTTTCATGTTTCGGTGCACAGTTGTAAAAAATTATTACTCCAAACATTGGTAGGATTCTATGATACGAACGACCTAATGCTTCGCTATTTCTCGATTACAAAAGAATGTACTGTGGCGTGAACCTTCTCTCGTCGATGTTGTTCGAGCGATGTTAGTTCGTGTGAACCCTTTTGCTTGTATCAGCAGTTCTTGGGTAGAGACGACCAACGGCCCTTGCTCTCATTTCCTGTGATTCTTTTGACCGATGCTTGCGTCCACGAAGCGGAATGCGCCTGACTCAGAAACACAACACGCTGAGCTGTTGTGACTCGTTCAATTCTGCGACCAAACTTCTTCGCCGTGATCCCTTTTGCTGCGTCATGTGTATCCTTCTTCACTTCGAAAGCATCATCGAAAAATTGCCATGATCGTACAGACGGACAATATATATGAGCTTGAATTATTCATTTCAGACCTGGGATCTATTTCACAGTTTCAGTAACCAAATTCAATAAATTCAATATCCAACCTAAAGTAATTTCTGTGCATTTTTGAAGCAAAGCACTGTACCTGTACCAAAGCAAAGCAAGCACCTGGCTAGAATAATGTGTTACCATTCACTATCTCGATGAGTTAAATAATTACCCTGAGTCAACTCCTGTTGACCTAATATAAATAATTAATCAAAACTGAATATTGTTGCCAATGATCTCGAGTTTTAGACTACAGTGCTTTGAAGGAATATTTCTGTCTTCGAGTGATTATTCTACGAATATCAATGTACTAAACAGTGAACCATCCACGCTTAAAGAAACGTAAGTTAATATAAACCTCGACTTACTTTACATTTGAATCGCTATAGTTCTTGAAATTATTTCTCTCCAACTACTTGAGTTTAATCATAGCTTGTTTTCTTCAGTTCTCATCTCATAATTTTTGCTATCAGTTGCTGTCTTGATCGCGTTACATCCAAGTTTGCTCTCAATGCGGCATTCAGCATCGAGCATTGGTATTGGACCGCCGCTCTGTACTTATTTATACAAACGATAGAAGCTCCCTGCTTCGGTGTGTTATTAGTTTACATTTTTTCTTGAAATTTCACCAGCAAAATACCAGTATTATAAAGTACTCAGGGGTATTCATAAAGCCCGTGGTGGTACAGAAGCATAATAGCGCACCAGTCACACGAGCTGTGTCCGTGCTGGTGCAGCCCAAGCTGCCTATGCCACCCCTATTAGTCTTCATTATACTCGACCTCAGGGGTGTGGGTGATGAGAGAGGGGTAGCTCTGCGGGGGTGCAGCGTTTGCCCGACTAATGCGTCATCACTGGTCGTATCTCGTGCCGATGGATGCACTCGAACAGGGTTACGATGCGGACAATTTTTGACGATACATAAAGTGATTTTTTTCCATGATCATAAGACTTTTGTTTATTAGATAAATCCTTAATTTTTCGCATGATATTATTTTTTGTAGTTTTGAAATATCCGTCAGTAAAACATGCTGCTATTAGTGCTCTTCGCATTTGGTCGCGACTTGCACATACTGAAGGCTCGACGCACCGTTTTTTAGCGCCGTTGAGTGACGTTAGTTTAGTTACGTTGGCGGCGCACACAGGCGCTTCATAACTACCGGAACAGCGCTGAACCACCAAATAGTCTCAGCCACTCACGCACTTGGTAATACACAATCACTGCATGGACGTTTAGCATAAAAGTATCCATGCTGGTGAGCAGTGCAAGATGCTTGAGCTTCAATGGGATATTTAATAGTTCGATATTATCGATCTAGTCAATTAAAATCTAAAATTATAATTAGTTCATCTAGTAAGTTAAAAAAATCGTATAAATTCATCACCTATTTGAAATTAAAACATCAGATTGAGAGGCCTGATTCGTGCGGCCTTGGCTATTTTTTCATGATATATAATTAATTATTACCATATATCATATCTTGTCATATATTATGACTATTTATTATCCTATATCATATCTGACATTCGCCGTCTTCCTTACCTGTTGCACGTATTCTTCTCTACAGCCTTTTGCTGGCGCTGTGTGACCCTTTCCCCTCGCTCTGCACGCCTCCTCGCTAGCTGCCGTTGTTGCAGACGGTCGCTCCTCTTATTTTGCCAGGTTAGCTGCGGCTGTCGGTGTTGCCAAGGTAACGAGGTTATGTCCTCCAGCAGTGAGGTCGGCATTATTATCCTCTGTCCTGAAAAGGATAAGACTACGTCACACCTGAGCCTCTTGGCTGCTTGCTCTTCCTTTATCCCTCTCCTTTGCATCAAACGTGTTGTCAAATAAATCTTCAGTAAATGTTAAAAATTGTACATCACTTTAGAAGTTAGGAAAATAACTTCAATCAAGTTTGACTTATTAATGGTTGTTAGTTATTTTCGCAACGAATTCACGGAGCTTTCAAACTTGTTTACCAACCGTAAAAATCGTTCAACTTGAACAACAACGTCCTGTTTATATATATTAATTTTAAGGCACCTGGTTTCTTCTTATATGCTCGAAATTCCCGTCGACATCATACAAAACCATGAATGGCAGGAATAAATTCTGTAATATGCCAGCAAAAGCAAGTCAAATACAATTTCTGCAGAATTACGATGAACTGTGAATTGTTGAAAATATCATTGAAAATAAATGAATTATTAGTATGAGTGTTAATTTGTAGAGCGTCACGTCAGATGTAATTTTTACTGCAAACCAATTCCAGGTAAGTTTTATTGTTTAATCTTAATGTAAGCGGCATCTGATTTTTTATCTTTTAATTGCCTTTATTGATTGAAAGGTTTCTAAAGCCGCTTTCTGCAGGCTTGTGATTCAAAGATCTCAATGCTGTCATTTATCCACCAGTGTATCGCTTACTCCAGTAATGTATATTTTTCTCAGTGATATCTGATCCCTCGCTTGCACAAGGACTCATAGCGAACGTCCAAGTATCGGATTAAGATGAACTCGCACAGAGCCGCATTCGCGAGGGTTTGCTACGCTCTAATTTTTTTTCTTTCATAAATCTCGAGTTCGGTCTCGATGATTATTCCTCTGTGTTCCATTTAGAAACGAGTTCGAGAACATGTGCGAGAATCGCTCATTTTCCATTGTATATTTGTACCTTTGATTATTTGCTTTGATTGACTTCCCGCTCCAATTTCTACGCAACGCTCTTAAATCTAATCGAAATTGCTTTCTTGAATCTGTTGCGAAAGGCGCTTGTATCACTTTTCAAATTAGTCATCCTAAGGCCAAACGAGCGACGACCTCAACATTTGAGACTTACTAAAGCAGATCCACATGCATCAAGACTATACCAATTTGCGTCAGTCTAGAAGACTTGTCCTAGTTTGAGGCCATATCGCTCTGGGTCTGCATTCATTTGAGTACTAGACTAGTTAGGGCTTCGATTGGATTCACTGTTTTGCATAACACTTGCCAAATTTCTTACCAATCGCTCTTTTAATAAGAATTACATATCCTTTATCTGCTTGTCCCCATCTTCTCACTGAAACGGAATTCAATTATGCTCACTCTTTCATTTATTGTTTTCTTCGGTCTTAAACCAATCACATGATTTGATTTAATCGATTTTCATCCCTCACATGAATTGTTCTATCTTGATCTCGTCCTCATCCACAGACTGCGAAGATGTGAGGTAATTTATTCGTAGTTTAAACTGCGCCCGTTCGTGGAACCATCCCCACACACAATCTGCACTCGATTGTGCTCTCTCTTGCGTAAACTGAACCCGTTTGTTTACTTCACGAAAATGTTACTTGCCTAACACAAAATAATCTGGCATCGATTACGCCACCCAGTTAGTCCCAGCAGACCATCGTTAAATTCAAACAGTACGCACGCTTATCACAGTAGATAAGATAGTGTTGAATTTAATAAAATATAACGAATACTAAACGCTAGCGATCAAGTCGTAGCATTCACCGTTCGAGGAACGCGGCGATTAAAATTTACAAGAGTTCTAAGATGGCATCTTTCGAAAAATTATCGAACCAGTGCTTTACTCGATACTAAGTTGAACATCCGCTGCTGTAAGCACATGACATACTAGCGCGGTGCACTGTTGGCGCTAGTGCTAAGCACATGACATACTAGCGCGGTGCACTGTTGGCGCTAGTGCTAAGCACATGACATACTAGCGCGGTGCACTGTTAGCGCTAGTGCTAAGCACATGACACACTAGCGCTGTGCACTAGCGCTAGTACTCGCCTAGCAGAGCGCGACTAGGGTGCCACCACCGCAGAGCGCGCCCTAAGCCGAGGCGGCTGCGGTGTTATCAGAGGCACTCAAGGTCGACCTCCGCTCATCCACCGACCAAACACTGCGGCGCTCTCAGGCCGACGCAAACATCCGCGCCTGCCGCGGCTAGTGCTGATTCTGCCATGTCTGCTGCCGCTGGTGTTGCTGACACTATTATGGCTGATGATATTGCTGACGCTAGTGCTGCTGATGACGGGAGTGATGCTGATGTTGGTAGTGCTGCTGATGACGTGAGTGATGCTGATGTTGGTAGTGCTGCTGATGACGGGAGTGACGCTGATGATTCCGTTGCTAGTGCTGCTCCTCTTGCTGTTATTGCTCTGCTCTTGCTCTCAGTGCTGATCGAGGATGCGCTTCTGACAGTCACAACACGTAACTTATGTTAGGGCCTTGTCAGAGCTGATGCCAATGGTGGTTCAGCTCCTTTCAATTTATTATGAGATAAACTGTTGATAATATTTTCTCTTGTATGTTGATGGCATAGCTACATGTTAAAAACTTATGTGGGTATGCCACGGCAACCACGCTGTAAATACAACTGCTTCGGCTGCTATTAAATCAAAGTGCATTACCTCTGTTCAATGCATCAAATTAAGTATTTATATAATTAGTGTGATTTTGAACATCCTTCATTCTTGCGCAGCATGTGCTCATGTTTGAACCACTCATGGGATTGAATTAATTATCAGTGGTGTTGATTCTCTGACTTTTACTTAATTCTGTCAATCTGCTTTTATAAACCTAGGCTGCGTATTCTTTATGAACCTATACTGCACTAAACTATAAACTGCACATAACCGTGAATTTTGTAGCCCAAAGAGTATCGTTTCCGCTGAAACTGCTGCAACTTGTAACTAGTTTTAGTGTTTTCATGGAAAAGTGTACTAATTATCTTGGCGATTATATTAGTACAGATCACTGTAAACAATATTGCACCCGGTATTATCGCACGAGCCAATACGTACTTGATGAAGATACAAATTTATTGATTCAATTTGAAGAGCAACGTGGATTATACCACCATTTGACCTCAGCTTCTTTCGAAGAAACGCGTCATTTAAACTTATTCTGCCGCCGGCAGGAATACCCAGTTTCATGCATACGCATGTATTTTTAAATAATTTGGAATTGATTATTTAATACCACGTCGGCTTTTTATCTGTATCCACGAATCAAAACCCAGATAAGAAGTTTAGTACACGTGTGATCTTCAGCAGTAGCTCAGACTAAGTTCTACTGTCCGTTCGTGTCAAGGTATGAAAGGTTGAATTCCAATCAAACAATCAAAATAAAATCCAACTTCTCATCTTATTATAATGTGCTTCTGAGGCAGTATCCGTGTCTATAAAGACTCTCAAATTTCTCTATCACAAAACTGTCAAAGATTAGGGTTAGTTATGAACTGTGTCATCTAAGAGAATTATGTCGAAGGTGAAATTGAAATCGATTACCATGACTTGTGTAATGCAGCCTGATTCAGTGTCGGATGACATTTGAGAGTTTTACTAGTGATATTGATTCTCGAACACAGATACTTGCGCAATTGCGAGGTGTGGCGAGTAGATGCAATATGTTATTCATCTCATTTACTTCTACTTGAGATGAATCGAGTCACTGGAATGAGAAAAAATTACTGACAAAAATAGGCAATTGTAGTTTCCCAAAATCCTTCCATTTGCTGCTGTTCTGGAAAAAACCCTTAAGCATACTGGTCATGCTTTCACATGACCTGTAACGAAATTCCTTGACTATTCAACAAGATAGTTGTCCGATTTACAGGACCTTGTCACAGAAAGTTGACGTTTGCCAACGCGTCATCTTTCTATCCATGAGGAAATGCTGTTCAATAGTTCCTTCTACATTTTACTAGTTCAATAGTCCCATATGCTTGAAATTTCCATTTTGAGTCGTCATCATTCAGCTATGCTTGCCTTGGCTTCCATTTATAACGTCTTTCATTGCAGTATCTTCACTATACGATGTGTGGACTCCATTAGTTCATCTTTTGAATGCTAATGGCCACCCACGTCTACCGACATAGCACACAATTAATGTTGTGACAACGTGTCAGCTCTTGACGATTTTGTCGAAACAAATTAACGAATTATTAAATTGTTTTTAATTATACCCACTCTAACCTAGCATTTACTGTTCATGTTTCATGCATGTGAGTAATTATTCAATTGAATTCCAAAGACAAGTTACATAAGTTATACCAATAATGTTAGTTCACGAGTGCTGAGTTATCGATACGGCCACGTCGACAAGCACCGTGCAGAGATCGGGGGCGAATGAACTAAGTGACCGAACGAACATCGAAGGTCTCAGTGCGTGAGGTGCCTTATCAGGGCTCTAAAGTGGAACGTATTAGTGGCCAGTCAGCTCTCCAAACGAGACGATACGTGATGCTCTTTCTTTGATGCCTTGAATAATTCATCGGTGCCTTGTTCTGGCTGTGCCGCCGCTGCTATTGTCACCGTTAGCGCTCTTGTTCTTTCTCCCAGTCCACTTTCAATGGAATCATACGTAAAATCGCGGTCAAAGATGGTTTGCGATTCTCTAATCCGGGAAATTAAGTTCTTTCCATAGTACGTTATGTGATTTTGTATTATATGCTTTTTAGCGAAATTCCTCATGTAGAATAGGTGGAGTTGCAATGAAAATTCTGCTCTATTCACTCACCCTTGCGACTAATGACCAGGTCGTTTCCCGGTAATTTAAAATTATAGTTCCTTACCAACGGCTTTGTAAGCGGCCTTCAGGCTTAGCTACACAAGAGTGACCATTTGAACGTAGTAATATAAACGCTTGGGCGTCCGTAGCTCAGAGGTTCGCTGTGCTGCGTGTGG